GACTCTTAGGTTGTTTCCAGCTCTTTGCTATTGTGAACAAAGCTGCGCTAAACACCGGTGTGCATATATCTGCTTGGGTGGCGGTTATGGTCTCTTTGGGGAAGGCCAGATTTCTAAAAACACCGGTTACTCGGTGGGAGGAAGATGGGCAATTTCATATTTACAGCTTTGCAAAACCAGTGCATGGGGGGGGCAGGGGTATGAGGCCTATTTGACTTGACAATAGTGGGTGAGCCTGTCCTCTGACGCAGCCCTGGTGCTGCAGTGCATCACATATTGCACTGCTAACTGAAAAGCAGTTGACTGAAATCCACCAGTCGCTCCAGACATTTAGCGCCTCCGAAACCCATAGAGGATCTCGAGGAGTTGAACTTGAGCCCATGGCCGTGGGCAGGTTTGGTTCCTCCTCCGAGCTCCTGTACATGCTGGTCACACATCGCACATCTCATTCAGTACCGTGTTTGGTTCAGTCGTACATCTCCGCTAAGATCCTGGGAGCCTCTCGATGGCCTGTATCCTATTTGATTTCACATCTTTAGTGTTTTGATGTCTGTTGAAGTAATAAGGCCACTTCAAGATTGAAAGAAGACTCGTCAGCAACCTACAATATGTAGATGACATCACTTTGAAAAAAATGAGGAACTGAAGCTCTTACTGATAAAGCTAAAGACTATATCCTTCAGGATGGAATATACTTCCACATAAAAACAGAAGTCCTCACAAGCAGACCAAGAAATACCATGGTTAATGAAAAGGGTAAGTCTGTCAAAGATTCCATTTTACTTGGATCCACATTCAGCATGCAGTTGTTGTTGTTGTTATGTACCATGGAGTTAGACCCAACTCACAGCTGACCCTCCGGAAGGATTTCCGAGGGTGTCAGTCACCAAGGAGGAGATTGTCCATCTTTCTCCTACCAAATAGGGGATGGATTCGAACTGCATGCCTTTGGGTTGGTGGCACAAGTCCTTACCAATAGACCAAAGCAAGTGATACAATGGTCAAATTTGCTACCAAATGTTGAAGAGTAGGGATGTGACTTTGAGAACTAAGGTGCGTCTGACTCTAGCCATAGGATGGCCTAATGTAAGAGCTGAACTGCAATCCCAAAGGTATACGTTTCAAGTCTACCAGCTTGCTCTGCAGGAGGATGGACAATCTCCTCCTACGCAATTTACTGCCTCTGAAAATCTGTCGGAGGGTCAGTTCCCACTTGAAAGCACACAACAACATATGCCAGAGAAAGGTGGACAATGAAGAATAATGATCGATGCCTTTGACCTGTGGTGTTAGCACAGAATATTACACCAAGGACAGTCAGAAGAACAAACCAACCTATCCTGGAAGAAGCCCAACCACAGTGCTTGTTAGAAATAAGAGTTTAAGACTGCCTCACACAGTGAGAGCATGCTATCAGAGACTAATATATGGGGAAGGACATCCTGCTTGGGAATGTAGAGGACTATCGAAAAGGGCAAGTCCTTCAATCAGGTGGACTGACACATCTGCTGCAACCATGTGGAAGTCTGTGAGGACGGTGCGGGGCCAGGTGGGCAGTGTGGGACCAGGCGGGCGGTACAGGACCAGGCAGAGCTCTGTTCTGTTGTACACAGGGTCGCTGAGTCAGAGCCAGCTGCGTAATAAGCATCTGGGAATCACTCTTGATTTCCTCTGCTTGATTCCTCCACAGCACCTTTTATTCCTGTAAGTCCCCAAATGCTGTGTTCTTGTGGGTCTCTCCCACTTGTCTTCATTATTATTATTGTCTAGTTTTCTCTTGTCTGAGGATCTCTGACTTGGCCTCTTGATGCCAGTCTCAACATGCTTGACTCACACTTCTGTTAGCAATCTTTCCAAAATGCCACCTTTACCAGGTTTTCTTTCATGTTAGTAATACTATTTCTACATGCTACTCACTGGGACTAAGTCCTCACCAGGGAGAAATGGCTGTTTGATTTCCTGGCGCTGTCATTCCAAACGAGAAACAGAAAATTAAATGTTAACTGTAAATTTTTATTTTTTTAAAAAATTTTTACTGTATTATACGTGTACCGTCAAATCAGATCTGTCTGGTACAGGAGGCGATTGTCCCTCCTTCTCCAGCAGAGCATTTGGTGGATTTGAACCGCATACCTCTGGGATTGCAGTGCAGCGTCTTGCCACTAGGCCACCAGAGCTCCCTTCTAACTGTAAATTTAACACCAATGCATACCATTAGGTGTCCAGTAACTGTTCTAAATGGATGCATTTTAAAATGTACTTGAAGTTAAAAAAAAAAGTTCTCAACAGTAATTGTGCAACAATGAATGAGTATTAAAAAAATAAGTGAACTGGAGGAGGGGGGAGGGGCAGAGGGGGTAAAACGTGCAACAATAAAGGAATAATAATCTAACTTTTCTGAAAACAAAAAAGCACTTGCTACTTGATGGAATTTTTTTGCTACCTAAAATTTTTATTATTAATTTTAATGAATGTTTATAGAAACTTCAGATTTCCATTCATTCATTATTGCATTTTTCTCCTGGCCACCCCTCTCCCACCAATATGCTTTTCTCTTTGAAAAGTAAAAGAAAAATTCTTTCAGTTATATGGTCCCTCCCCCACCAAATCCACTCCACTGTGCAGTCTTCATTCTGGACTCCTGTCATGACAATAATACCCAATCATATATTCCTTTTATAAAGTTCTCGCCCTCATCTATTTCAATGCAGTATACATTGGATTTTTTATTAATCTTTATTTTTATTTTAATGTTTTTTTTCCCTTTATTTTTTTGTGTGTCGAGTCAGATTGGCACAAGAGGAGACTGCCCCTTTGTCTCCTGCGGAGCATCTGGTGGATTCGAACTGTGAGCCTTCAGAATTACAGTGCAGCTTCTTGCCACTAAGCCACCAGAGCTCGCCCTTGATGGAAATTTTTAATAACTTATTTTAGTGTAAAAAGAGTCACACTTCAAATAATAAAAGTAATTTATTTTTCTCACAATTTAAGAAACATTTTATAATTCAGCCACAGCCTTTACTTCCAAGTGACTTCTTCATTGTCTCTCAATTCTCTGAGGAAAAGAAAAGGACAAAATATAACAAATTTTCACAATGAGATAAAAAGAGAAAAATTAAAGGAATATGAAGTCGACATTTTTTTTTGAAGTCGACATTTTATAATCCATAAAATTAACACGTTTGTAAAACTTTACATAAGATTCAATCCAGTAAAAGAGATAGATCCAATGTGAGAAACAATGTATACACATTTTTTAAGTAAACCAGTATTAAATAAATAAAAGAGTCAACACATTCATTCTATTCTCCTAGGATCTTAAACTTTTACAAAGTATCTTCAACTATACTCTTCTAGGTTAAAAAATGTCTAGTTTCTTGTTTAACATTTTATGAAAGCTATCACCCTTCAATGACTTTTGAGTTTTCTGCACTCCCTCCAGCTCATTTTGACTGTCATGAAACCCCCAAAGTGGGCCAACTCTGCATGAGAACGGTGTCTGACACTCAAGTCTCTTGCTGCTGCAAATGCCTCCTACCCAGCAGGTCTAACTGTGGCCGATGCTCTGTCTAGCGACTCCGTTCGATGTCTCTGTACACACGAGGCCAGGCGGCTGCTACTGACCTCTCAACCGCCTTGACTCCTTAAAACTCTTCTGTGAGGAGCACAGCACTGGGCTGGATCCGTTAAGGAAGCCGACTGCCAGGTGTTTTTCTTGCAGAGGCGCTGTGTGTGTTTGAACTGCCAACTTTTTTATTAGCATGAACTCTGAACTGTTTTACTTCCAGGGCTCCCTAAGCTTCTATTAGTACTATCTATTTCAGCTCCCAAGAGCCCTGGCAGAGCCTAACACTCAGCTGTTAATGGAAAGGTTGGTGGATCAAACCCACCCAAGTGCTCCCTGGGATAAGTGATGTGGGATCCACTTCTGTGAAGACCACAGCCTAGAAAACCCCACGGGGCAGCTGCTGCAGCAAATTCCTTCGCATGGTCCTTCCAGTCTTTGTGGTTCCCACCAATGACTAGGTCAGACATGATACTGTGGTGCTTGGGGTCCACCAAGGGGACTGGAGAGCTTCCTAATAATATAAATAAGGTCCACAGCACACTTTTGGGGGTGGGGGCACACAAATAAAGTATAAAGGATCCCAATGAGGGGGTCAGTTTTTCCTTTATGCTAAGGCTTAAAAGAGAACCAATTCTACAACATAAGGGGGACCACTACTATGAAGAATAATTAAGTGGGAACTGTGCACATCCTGTGGACCTGGGGTCCCTGAGTCAAAGACCCCCTAGATCCTGGAGACAGAGTGCTGTAATGGTAGAGACAGTGAGATGCCGTAGTAGCGACAGAGTGGCGGCTGAACCAGGACACTGGCAGGAGAACAGGCCGCTGGAGGATTACCAGCAGAGGAGGGCACCTCGGGCGTTTATTATTGTTGGTGCTGTGTGTATTCTGTTGGAACGGACTCAAAGCTGACCCTCCAGCGGGTTTTCAGAGGCAGTAAATCACATGGGAGACTATCCATCTTTCTCCTGTGAAGTTAGGGGATTCAAACTGTGCCTTTGGGATTGCAGTGCAGCATCTTACCACTAGGCTGCCAGAGCTCCCTTCATTGGTGAAGCTAAGATTTAAACACTTGCAGGACAGAGGCCGGCCCAGCACAGAGGCCTGAGGGCTTAACAGAGACCAGCTCTTTGGCCCAGCTGAATGAAGAGCTTGTCTGTTTGAAGAGGTATATTCTTTTTTTAAAAAAAAATTAATTTTTAAAAAAATTTTATTATTTTTTTGTGTGTGTACCATCAAATCGGATCTGACTGGCACAAGAGGAGACTGTCCCCCCTTCTCCAGTATAGCATCTGGTGGATTTGAACAATGCGTCTCTGGGATTGCAGTGCGGCTTTTGGCCACTAGGCCACCAGAGCTCCAAATATTTTAATTTTTTTATTTTATTTTTATTATTTTTTGTGTGTACCATCAAATCGGATCTGACTGGCACACAGAAAGGGATTGTCCCTCCTCCAGCAGAGCATCTGGTGGCTTTGAACTGTGCACCTCTGGGATTGCATGAAGAATTGTATTCTGAGTTGTTTCCGATCCGGAACTGTATCTTGTTACATCCTTAATAAACCCCGTAATTGTGAGTATTGTTTGTTGAGTTCCATGTGGCCACTGAATGAATTCTTGAACCCAGCAGACGCGTAGAGAAGGGTATGGGAGAGATGCTGTATCAGAACTGGTAAAAGGACTGGAGAGAGCAAGTCTGTCTGACCTCCACATCATGGGAAATCAACCTGAGGCTATTGTGGATTCTGTCCTCTTCATGGACTTACATGCCTTTGTGCCTTGAAGAACTGATGGAACAGTTCTACTTGATCAAAATGAGTGGATATCCGTAAAAAAAAAATCAACATTTAACATTTCTGCTACATCATGGCAGTATCTGATAACATGTGAAAGCACTATGCAGGTACGTTTTAATGAGTTGTTTAATATTTTGTTTCTATGATGTCAGTCTGGAGACTAAGGTGCACCTGATACAGGCCATGGTCTTTGCAATCACTTGCTATGTACCAGAGAGGTGGACAATAACTAGAGATGAAAGGAGAATTGATGCCTTTGAGCTGTGGTGCTGAAGAAGAGTATTGAATATACCATGGACTGCTGGGAGAACAAACAGGTTCGTCCTAGAGAGGGTGAAGCCAGGTTGGTCCTTGGAGGCAAGGATTCTGAAGCGTCATCTGATATACTTTGGACTTGTGGTAAGGAGGGACCAGTCCTTGGAGAGGGATGTCATGCTTGGGAGGGTGGAGGAATAGCCCAAGAGAGAAAGACCCTCGATGAGATGGATTGATACAGTGACTGGGGTAATGGGGGTAGGCGTGTCAGAGACAGTAAGTTTGGCACAGGAAGAGCAGGGTATAGGGCTGTTGTACAGAGAGTCGCTATCAGTTGCAGGTGACTCAATGGCATGTAACAACAGCAACAACAGGGTGAAATACATTCTGAATTCCAAAAAGAAGGACTTTGAAAGATTTGAAACCAACTGTTCATAAATCGAAGACTATTCTTATTTCAAAGCAATTACACAGTTTTTCCCAAGGATTAGGCAACATGACTGAAGGGCAGTATCTCTTGAATCTAAATCCTCAGGAAGAAAAGTACCTCTTCTGTTTCTTTTTGGCAAAAAGTGACATTGTCATTGCTGTTTTGTACTGTCAAGTCAAAACCAACTCATAGCTGTTCCTTCAAGCAGGTTTTCAGAGGCAGTAAAATTGCATGGGTGGAGATCAGTCATCTTTTTCCCAAGGAGTAGCTGGTGGATTTGAAGCCTGTGCCTTTCCATTAAGCTATGAGAATGCTAAATAATTTGTTTTGTGGGTTTGTGTTTGTTTTATTTTAAGTGGTTTATTTACAAAGTTCATATACATTGTTTTTCACATCTTTCCTTCACCTTCCTATCAAGTTGTGTGACCCTGTGATTAACACTCTCCCCACCCCCACCCATCCCCAGCCCTCTGCTTCCTCCCTCCCTCCCTCGAATCCTCATAATCATTCTACACTAATGGTCTTATATAGTAGGGGACTTAGCATAATGAAAAGCTCTAACTCTTAAAGTAAATAGAAATGATCCATTACAGAGTTTAAAAAATTCAGGAACTAACCTTTTATATAACATACTCTTGTTGCGGAAGGCAGTTAGCTTTTCGTCATCTCTTCTGTCTAGATAACATCCAATCAAAAATCCTATAGGAACGAGCACATGAACCCAGTGGTCGCGGAGCATGTTCAGTAAAGTCATGATTTCTAGAGAAAGAAAAAGTAGCCGTAAGTACACTGCCTTTAAAATATCTATGAAAACTCTTCTGAAGCAGCAAGACAACCTAGAAATAGGAAATAGAGGTTGAACCTCTTTGAATTTGCTTCACGTCATAACGCAGAACAGTATTATAAAGTCTACCTGTAAAAGCCGACTCCTTGCATTCTCCTAGTTCTGATTTGAAAGTATCATACATGTAAAATACATTTAGAACCTCAGAACCTAAAAGATGTCATAGTAATATTTTGTTGGAAATAGGTTTGGGTAAAGATGAAAACTGACTTTTGAAAGGAAATGAAAAGATAGAAAACACACACATCTACATTCACACCCACACACAAATTAATACCACAGTGGTTGTTATATACCAAATCAGAAACTAACACTGAGAAGATATGAGAGTCCCAGATCACTTAATTATGCTTATGTGAAACCTATACCTAGCGACCAAAAAGAGGCTGTTGTGCGAACACAGCAAGGGAACACTATATGGTGTAAAATTAAGAAATGTGTGTGTCAGGGTTGTATCCTTTCTCTGTATCTATTCAATCTGTATGCTGAATAAATTATTCGAGAAGCTGGACTCTGGAGAAGAATGTGGCATCAGGATTGGAGGAAGACTTATCAATAACCCTTGTTATGCAGGTGACACAATCTTCTCTGTTGAAAGTGTGGAGGACTTAAAGCACTTGCTGTAGAAGATCAAAGACTGCAGCCTTCAGGGAGCTCTGCTGGCCTCGTGGTAAGAAGCTGCATTGCAATACCAAAGGCATGTGGTTTGAATCCACTAGCTGCTCTGCAGGAGAAGGATGGGCAAAGACTGCAGCCTTCAATATGGATTGCAGTTCAATGTTAAGAAAACAAAAAATTCACCATTGGACCAATAGGCAACATCCTAATACATGGAGAAAAGTCTGAAACGGTCAATGACTTCATCTTATCTGGGTCTATAATCAATATACCTGGGACCAGCAGTCAGGAAGATCAGGAGACATACCGCACTGAGAAAGTCTATAGTAAAGGACTTCTCCAGATTATTGAGGAGCATTAATGTATGTTTGAGGACTAAGGTGCACCTAATTCAGGCCATGGTCTTTTCAATCACTTGCTACAATGCTGAGAGCTGGACAATGTTATCCTGACAGAAGAATCAATGCCTTTGAACTGTGGTGTTGGATAAGAGTACTGAATATCCCATGGAATACAAAAAGAACAAACAGATGAGTCTTGAAGAAGATGCAGCCAGAGGCAAAGAATGATAAAGCTTTGTCTCACATACTGTGTGCATGTTGTTAGGAGAGGATATTCCTTGGAGAGATACATCATGCTTGAGAAGGTGGACGAATGGCAAGAGAGGAAGATCCTCAAACAGGTGGATGGACACAGTGACTGCAGCAACGGGCTCTAGTGTGTCATAGACTGTGAGGATGGCTCAGGATAGGACAGGGTTCAGATCTCTTATTCAGAGGATCACTGAGTCGTACTTGACTTGAAAGTACCTAACAGTAACAATTCCGTTTTAGACAGTGTGAGACAAATAACATTTTCTTCACTTTAAAAGAAAAATGGGATTCAAAGAGCTACACCCAGATATGAAACGAGAGCTGGAAACCAAATCCAGGTCATCTCAAAGCTCTGGCTCCTTCACACTTTATCACATTACCTCTCCAAGAAGCCTTTCTCTAAACGGATTTTTAAGTTCCAAGAGCTGCCAAAAGGTAGAAGAGGAGGAACAGGAGGACAAGGAGACTTCACACAGTTCAAGATTCATTTTTTAAATAGGACTCTGTATATATAAAGAGGAGATCACAACATATCCATTTGAAAGTAACCTGAAATGAATAAATCGTGTATAAATGGTTGAGAAGACAAATGACAACACCTTAGGAGAAGTAGTACAATTCTGCCAACAACAGTGCTTAGCATTAAACTTGCTAGGATTATGTAGCCCAAATTCTTGCCTTGTTTTTTGAAGACAAGGAATGCCGTAATTAAACATTCTACACAAAACTCATTGGCACTGAGTTGGAATCAATTCAGAGGCGGCTTTCCAGTAGATTTTCTGAGCCTATAAATAGTACAGGAGACTGCCCGTCTGTTTTCATATGCATCAACTCATAATCCTCAAACACTTGCTGCTGTTAGGTGCCTTTGAGCACAACTCACAGTGACCTTGTGAACAACAGACCTGAACCCTGCCCTACCCTGTGCCACCCTCATCGTCTTGGATATTTGGGCCCATTGTTACAGTCACTGTGTCAGTCCCTCTGGGTGAGGGTCTTCCTCTCTCGCTGACCCTCCACCTTGCTTAGCATTATGTCCCTTTCCAAGGAATAGCCTTTTCCAGCAACATGTCTAAATAAAGTGTGAGAGATGAAGCTTCACAATCCTTGCCTCCAACAAGCACTCTGGCTGCACTTTTTCCAAGTCATATTTGTTCTTTTGGTAGTCCAAGGGATACTCAGTATTCTTCTCCATCCCAACTCAAAGGCATCAATTCTTCTTCTGTCTTATCCTTATTCTCTAGTGACTCAGTGGTGAGGAAATGCACTGCCAAAGTGAAATAAAAGTACATTGTTTACAGGGAGCTCTGATGGCCCAGTGGCAAGAAGCTGCACTGAAATCTCAGAGGTGTGTGGTTTGAATCCACCAGATGCTCTTCTGCTGGAGAAGGAGGGACAATGTCCTCCTGTACCTGTCAGATTTGATTTGATGGTACACATACAAAAAAAAAAGTATGCGGTTTAAACCTACTAGCTGCTTTGTGGGAGAAAGATGGGCAATCTCCTCCTATATCATGAACTGCCTTTGAAGACCCACTGGAGGGTCAGTTGTCAGTTGGTTCTGACTCAATGGAACACAGAAACAGCCTCTTAACTGGTCCTTATTTCTTTTATCCCTTAAGCGCAGGAATTACAAAACCAAATAGATATTCCAAAGTGTTTTTTCCAGATGAGGTTCTCTAAACAGAAATGGTAAAGCAATGGGTCTAGGGTCAAGATACAAAGATGGGATTGGACAGCCTGGCTCCATGACCAGCACTTTTACTCGTGCTTTACGGTAAAGCACAAAACCCCAAAATGATTGCAACTGAGTCCACACAGACTCACAATGACACTCTACTGGTGGCCAAGGCTCTCAGGAAGCTCTGATGGTCTACTGGGTAAGGTGCTGCAGTGTTAACCCAAGGGCAGAGGGTTCGAATCTACCAGCTGCTCCACAAGAGGGGGATGGGCTATTTCCTCTTGTGTGATGGCTTAGTGGAAAGGTGTTGCAATGCTAAACAAAAGGCACATGGTTTGAATCCACCGTTGCTCCACAGGAGAACCACCTCTGAAAACCTGCTGGAGGGTCAGTTCTGGGTTGGTTCCAACTTGGTGGCACATTGAAAACAACAGTAAATGTTAAAGAGTTGAGAAGTCCTGATGGGTTCCAACTACCAACCTTATAGCTTAGTAGCCTGGCACGTTAAACACAACATCACCAGCAGTTCCAGTGCTGTATAGTAATGCACATTATCTTTTATCTATAGTTAGAGAAGTGCACCTATCAACTTCACTTTTGATCCTATTTTCAATTTTTCTCTAACTCAATTTTATTCCCACTTCAAAAGCTAACAAAAATCGTTATTTTCTGGAAGCCAAAAAAATTCACGTTGTTAAATTACAATAATTAGATGTTGCTGTTGATTGCCTTCAAGTTGAGCGCGACTCAAAAGGACCATATGAATAAAAGGCCTGAAGCCCCTCTACAACCATTGACAATAATCAAAGTTCTTAGGGTTTCTGGAGGCATTTTAGGAAGTGCATGCCACTCCTGTTTCCTGGATACCTATTTTTTAAAAATAGTAATAGCCTTCTACTTGGTATCCACGGACTTCTTTTTTAAATAATAATTTGTGTGTGTGTGTGTGTGTGTGTGTGCGCGCGCGCGCGCGCATACCGTCAAATCCTATCTGACTGGTACAGGAGGACATTGTCCCTCCCTCTCCATCAGAACATCTGGTGGATTCGAACCGCGCACCTGTGGGTCCACCGGCTTTTCTGTGAAAGATTCGTAAAGGTCCTATTGAACTTCGAGGCCTTGGATAATGCCAAACAAGCCTTAGAAACCGTGCACAAATGAAAGATCGAGTTTGTCAAAAGGACAGAACACACTTTGTGGAGTGTGGAGGGACTTCGCATGTTAAAGAGACAGAGGGCGCTGACCCAGGGCTGAATCTGAGATGTCAAGTTCAGAGGCAGCCCCAGCCGGGTCCCTTGGTCTCGACCGCCCTTTCCAGCTTTTCTGACGTTTTGACAATCGGGGTTCCCCTTCCGAAGCAGCTGTGCACCGCGGTGTTCCCCAAACAGGGACGCGATTTCTCACAATCCCCGCGTCTCGAGGGGCTTTGGTGGCCTAGTGGTAAAACGCTGCGCTGCAATCCCCAAGACCCGCCGTTCGAATCCACCGCCTGCTCTGCAAGCAAGAGACAGTGGACGATCTCTTCTCTTTACATTTAACTGCCTTTGAAAACACTCTGCAGGGTCAGCTATGGGTCGGTTTCTACAGGAGGGCGCACAACCTCCACTGCAACACCCGGCTGGACCAGCCGTCCGGCCCCGGGGGAGCCCAGCCACCCCGCGCCCACCACTTCCACTGCTGGGGGACTGTAATCGATGGGACTCCTCCCCATCTGAGCACAATAGTGACCTCGTCCTCACCCACCTGCGTCCCAGGCGCCCACAACGACCCAAGATCAAGGGCAGCGGAGAGCTCAGTTCAGCTCCTGCGGCGAAAACGGCGGCCTCGGGCGCTACCATTCGTCGGCGCCGCGCAGAGGAGGGGGGTGTAGCCTCAAAGTCGTCCTCCTTATTTCTGTCCCTGTTGGACTCTCCTCACAGGTATGTAATGTGTAGGAGGTAATAAAGGGTTTCGAGTTAAGAAGGAGTTCCCAGGGCGGCGGGCTCGCGGGCGTCGGCTCCTCTGCGCCCCTCGGGTCC